AAAATTATATTATTTATGTAATATATATATTTGTTGTATTATTTGATTTATATATGTTTAGTTGGTTTTATATATATACTTATCACTATTTCACATGTGCTATATTTTTTTTTTACATCACAAATTGAGAGGCAGTTGCTAGTTGCATACTACCTAGAATTCAAGGCACAGTGAAATACAAAAGCAACAAAGTACTGCAAGCGGAGAGCTTTTTCCAGAAGGGTCCCTCAGTCCCAACTCTTCTTGCCCGAGCGTGCCGTATAGGGTAGAGATGCTGTGGTTCCCTCACGCCTTACAGCTGGCTGCATCATTGCTGTGTCCTGACCGAGAAGGACACCATGCTGCACACTAACCTCCAGACATCAGCGTTTACTACTGAAGAAAATGCAGGCTGGCAGGTAAGGAGAGAGGCAGAATATAATGTGCCTGTACAGATCCCAAAACAAATTTTGGACAGATCTTCTAGAGGACGTGACGGAAAATACCTGTCCCACAGCTGGGACACGCACAATGTGCCTTAGAGAAAGGACAACAGGAAGCACTGAAGATCTCACACAGCCTGTAGCATTAATTCAGCCCTTGCAAACAAAAGAAGTAGGGTAGCATGGTGCAGCATGGTGCAACCTCCACCTAATTCTTGCTACAATTCTCACGTCAATTAACACCACCAGTTACTATGAAGAAAAGAAATCTTTTTGTTCATTTGTGTGTGTATGTTCTAACGTAGGTTATACCAGAGAGTCTTCTGGAGTTGATCAGAGCCTAGTACAAGACAAAAGCATTTCAAGCAGATGCTGCTGAAAGACGTGTACAGAACTTCATACCGTCACCCTGTGCGTGCCGATAAGGATGTTCTCAAGGGAACAAAGTAAGGGAGGCGAAGCCTGAGTGTCAGTCTTACTGTCCTGTGAGTAAGGTATTTCATATCCAGGAGTCCACTTTGAGATGCTGTCTGGAAACAGCTTCACCTTTCAGAAAGCAAACTGAAGAGCTTGGAAAATATGGAGCAGCTTTGTCCTCTACAGAGAAAATAGTAATTTTTTTTTTTTATAATTCACATGTGCTCAGGAAAACAAGCAAGTAAATAACCAGATTAGTGTTCAATACTGAAAGTACCTTTGGTATCATTTTGATACACCAACCCAAGAGAGATCTCCACAAAAGAAGAATTTCAAATAAGGGCTCCTAGTTCTGCTTTTGTAGCGATGTCAGAATTTTAAGAAAGAGCTGGAAAAAGAGAATGAAGGCTGAAAGGACAAGTCACAATTGTCATGCCCGTTATGAGGGAAAGGAAGACTCTAGTCATGTTTTTGTACTGACTGCAAAGACATTTGGGCTATCTTCTGAAGAATGGAAGCACTCTGAGCGCATGAGACACCCACAGTTTGAGAGGGATGATGTATGTCTGGTAATTGGGAATGCAGTAGCAACAACTGGCGCTGTACCAAACTTCCCAGCCTCTGGAAGAGATGACGTGGAGCGGTTCTCATGAATCAGGTTATCTACACCAAACCTGTACTTTCTAAAGAAATCCTTCCTCAACGACACCTATACGGACTATCAAATTGAAGTGACCCAGAATTCTTCACAGTACCCTTTGCACTCTATAACATCTCAATCTGGCTTCAAGACAGTCTTGAAAAATATTTTTTTCCTATTTTTGTGCATTTTCTTTCATATGTTTATTTTTTTCACATAAGCATTAATGAGAATTATTTTCCCTGTATCTTTAGAAAGGCTTTTTTGTTTCTCAGTAGCAATATAAATAGCACTTTTCAGTCTTCTAGGATATCCCTAAAAAATGTAACACTTTTACTTAAAATCTTACTCAAGTCTAAAGCATGTCAAATGGCTCGTAGTGCTACTCCTGCTGCCGATCAGTTAAGACTCTTACCTGAGGGCTTTTTCCTATATATAGACTGCAGAAAGAGCAAGAGAGCACTTCCCAACATGGTCATTCATTATGTAATACGTGAAATCTATTTCAAGCTTCCTCATGAAATTTTTAAAGGCTTTCATCTGTCCTATTTTTTGCTTCTGCGACAAGATAGGGGAAGACTCTAGATTTCTTACCCGCACTATTTCACAGTCAACATTTAATTCTGCAGCCACAGCTTCAATTTTCTCTCTGCAGACTGAGCCCAGGCTGGTCATGCCATTGTCCCAGTATTTCTTTAGGGTAGCTAAGTCTCGGTCACTAAATTGTGTGCGGTCCTGTAACTGTAAGATAAAAAAAATACTGTTAGATTTTTAAAAATTCTGCTTATGCCGTTCATCTAATTTCCAGAGGTCTTGCATACAGTAAGACACACATGTTATACCGTCTCCATGGCTCTTCTCCCCTTTTAACTCTCCCTTAAGAACCTGGGGTTTTTAAGTCAGTTCTTTTTTTATCCAGGGCAGTACAGAGTTCCCTGGGATTTGCTTTAAAGGCAATGGCAGTTCTAACGCAAGTTTAAAGCACTTCAGCTTTGTTTCAACTCCACCTGATTTTTTTGATTTGTTTTATCTCATTCTATAAGGCCTTACTGAAAACAACTTTTTTCCCCTTGTGCTGTTTACTCTCTCCACCCAATTTATGCAAATTATTCCTTAAGGCTTTTCAAGTTTCTCACCCTCCCCCACCTAAAGTTCTTTTATCTTACTGCAAACTACAATACATGCATAATTCAAAGGATTCTGAGTTCCTAAGGGAATACTTTAATGTTTATTTGGTAAGCTTCAGAGTTTAAATTGGTTCCACTGCTTATTTGCGAGTTCCCTAACTCTTTGTGTACATTTATCAAAATATGTGATAGTGGATTACTGATAAAAGGAGCAACACTGGAAAACAAATCCTAGACATACTGCCACTTCTTGAACCGTTGTGGGCATTCAGCATCATTCGCTAGTAGAACTTACAAGCTTTATCAAAAGCTTTTAGCCCAGAATTTTAACCAAAATCTACAGTTTCTCTATACCAACCCATGTTTGCCATCTCTCCTGCTATGAGGAGTACATAAATGCAACAATAAAGTCTGCACTAGTAAGTCGTAGCCACGTGGGCCAAATTTGTCATTATTTCAACAGTTGAATTTTGTAAGACATAATCATTATTTCAATAGCTGAAATCGGGGTTTGCCCATCTAAAAATTGTTAAGAGTTAGAATGAAGTAACTTTTAAACAGAGCAAAAAGAAATTTTGCAGAACTAGAATAATTTGACAATCTTGCACAATTACCAATTTTAATTTTTGTTAATCTTCAGAATATGGTAATCCTTGCAATTTTCTTCTTTTAAAAAATTACTCTCTTTCAAAATGTTAGAAGCACTAGAGTGTCCTTAATACATGAATATAAAATAGGGGTTTCAAAACCTTGTCTCCTTAAAATAATCCCAGGTGGTCCAGTAAAAAAAATGTAGCAGTTATATTCAAATATAGCCCATTATTAACTGCTACCAGGCACTCAGATTTTTTTCTTGGCTATCGTTTCACACATTCAAGTACAGAGGCAGAGAAGCTGCTCCCACCCAGCCCATCCATCAGCCGCCATCTC